TAGTATCAGTATCTCACGCACCACGGTAACCACGATAAATGCGAGTACAGAAACAATGAAAGCCACAAATAGTAGATCGGTGGTCTCCCGACTCTCTTCAACCTCGCTGACCGCAGAAATTCGGAAGAAGAACATCTACAGTTTGATCAAAAAGACAAAGGTTTCTAGACTTTCCTTAACCTTCATGAAGATGAAGAGGTAAAAACCTAACCCGAAAATAATAGAAGTTGAGGCTAACCATTCGGCCGAGACCGAGATTCATGACAGTAAATTAAATATTGGACAACCGAAAGAAAATCTCCTACTTACTGAGACGAAGAACTAAGGCTCCCGGCCCGTTGGCTTTTCGGTTGACCAAAATAACTAAGACTTGCCATATGGGAAATAAATGAACTCAGATACAGAGTTATCCTACAGAATTACAACTTCGTAGGCATTGTACGGTTTTTAACAAAATTCAGGATGAAGATAATTGAGCAGCAGCATCGGAAAGGCTGCTGTCTAGACTGCCCTTCTGCTTGACTATCAAGGCCGATTTTACGCCAAGGCCATTTTGACATGAATGACTTAAACACTTATTCTGGTCCTAGCTCGCAGGCTGTGTACTCTTTACCTGTGCCTAGACTACGATGATTATTCTACTGAGACATGCAACATATGGATAAGATATCTGGGACACAGTAGAATGCTTGCTTTTTTAATGAGATTCGTTCTGACTGCCTGCAAAAAGCATACTCTGTAAAAAAGGGCTCCTTCAGTAGTGAGCAATATTTATCTTTGATTTTCGATGCCCTTAGGAATTCAAATATATTTTACACAAAATATATTTTTAAAAATTAGTATCTGTATGCAAGTATGTTAGCAAACTACGCCTTCTTCAAATGTTCTATTTGATAAAGTGGTATTTTTCAGTTTTTTAATTACTATACTTTGACAAAAGTAGCTTATGTCCCAGCATTTTTTCTTGCAAAAACGGTAGTTATAGAGTTTTGTGGGGTGGGGAAGTAGGATAGGCAGAGAAGAAAATTTATAGGAGTAAGTGTAAAGGGAAAAATAAAATTAGTCGAAGTTGCTTCCCGCGGCCGCTGGGAGTAAGTTGTTCCACATGTATATTAAAGGTGTGCGCGGCGCTTAGCGCCGCTGGCTATACTAATCTAACTTCAGAACGCTAAGTTGGACCTCAGGTAAGTTGAAGGACGACCTCCTAGCCACCACCTCACTTTTTTGGGAAATTCAAGAAACCTGCAGTTTGATAATCAGGTTTTTCCGCAACATGTTAAACTATAACACAGATTAGAAAAATCCACAGCTATAAATCAACAACACTTCTAAATACAGAAATATAAAAAATTATTTGGCATTTATTAAAATATATTCCGCAGCCATAAAACCCTATAACAACCGTTTTCATAGGAAAACATGTAGGGAATAGGGGGTAATGAGTGGCCCTACATGAGCTAATGTCGTCTATATTTTTTAACACCGTGAATACATAATACCTCGTATTCCTCCATCTAATGATGTTGTCTATAAGGTAAACAATATTATCCATATATTGCAAAATTTCGGTAAGAACTGTGCGAGTTCTTTCTCATAGGGTAGAGAACTGTATGCTTTCCCTTATCCAGCCTCTATAGAGTATGTAGTATTGAAACCATGATTAGAAGTATAACGATCGGTGGGTTCAAAATTATTCGTCAATTAAAAAAGTTCTTTAAAACTAAAAGATGCCATTTTCTTTAAGCATAACGTTCGAAGAAGCGTAATTTACTACCAAACGCTTACAAGAAATAAACATTATTGCATACTTTTTTCTACTAAATATGTTTAAATTTCTAAGGGCATCGAAAATCCTTGGGGGAAATGCACATAACTGAAATAGTAATTTGTTTCACAGAGTATAATTTAGAAAGCAGCTCGTTCAAAAGTATGCATTACGTTTTTGTCCGAAATATTTTTAGATTAGGCTGCACGATAATTGATATAAAAACACTGCTTAGGTAGTTTGTTCGAATTGAAAACGCATTTCGAACTTTTAGTTGACATTTCATATGATAGGGCATCTACTGTATCCCAACAGGGTACGGTTGTAAGTACGCCGTATCACAGGTACCCTTGCGCTAAATATCAGGGGGGAGGAGAATTTGATTTGGGTGAATGGCCCAGTTATGCTTAAGAGGGTTAACGTTAGAGTTGGAATCAGGGATAGAGTTAAAATTAGTAAATGAGAATAGGTCCCCCTCCTTGAATGTGGTGCAAGGTCCCCTGTTTTACAGCGGACATTTATAACCGAGTCAAACCTAAAGCCTGACTTTAGAAGGAGAAACGGATATTCCGCTTCCCTTGGGGTGGTTCGCTTAGAGCTCGTACGAACGCTAGCATAAAAACGAGTATGCAGTAATCGTAAATTGTCATCCAACAAACGCAAGAGAGATTGGAATCACTGTTGCAAACTTATCTGCATTATCAATCAGGCGGAACACGACCAAGAAATAATCAGCCTCGCATCTGGAACATTAATAAAAAATTCAGTCGCCTTTTGGCTTCTGTTGGGAATAATTATTGAGAAACATGCCCATTCCAACAATTTACTTTTGAAACTCATTTCTTGTTCCGATGGAGCCCACCGAGCAGATACCTACCAGTATCTGCTCAGTGCAAATCTTCACCATCCGGGAAAGATGCACTTTGATTCCTGCTTACTCACTGCATTATTAGTGAGGATGGCCTAAACCAGCTTGATGACGAATTCGACATGGGGACTATGGTGCTTTTCCCGATAGGCTCTCCAGGGTCCCTCGGAATAAAACAGATGATGGCCCAAATCTTTGTGGCATTTACTTGTAAAATGAGGCTTCGTGCTTTCTGTAATGCTCCTATCATTTCCGCAGAGCGGGCGACAGGACTTTGGGGACGTTTAATAGGCCGAAGTATTCGCAGTAAGTTTGAATGAATCTGGCGGACACTTGTGTTTTCAAAACCAGGCTTCTGAATTTTTTGATAGCGCTAGCCAGAAGATTAATTTAAGGAAGGTTTCGTCCCGCACTTTTCCGATGCAAGCTACCCGAGTGATAGTCCAGTTTGACTTACTGGAAAAAAAGGCTTATAATGCCTATAAATCTCAACCAGACACCCTCAGGGTGTCTGTTATTTCTCTATGGCCCTAAACCTGTGCAGAAAATTCTATCCAATTTAAAAACAAATCGAAGACTGGTGGTAATTTCTCTTCCTCAAAACGAATAGAGTACAAAGAAAGGTGCCGTCATTTTCAGTATCATAGCAAAGCTCAAAATCCAGAGCTCCTTGGCTGCAGCGTTGTAGAACCGTCAGATAATATGCCTAGTACGAACTGAAGGCGTGTCTGTCCTAATTCCCTCAGCTCTTCGTTTTCACCCAATCATTAAAGCTAAATGCAAACGTGCGATTTCGATCTCTGTTGCTCTGTCGGCGTGTGTCCCTTATCCATGCATCCGTGATCAAGCTGTGCTCCATTTTGGCTGATATCACAACCAGATCAGGACACAACTACTCTGTCTCCTGGCCAGGGACCGGCCGCGCTCAGACGGGCTGCGCTAAGTGCCATGGCCTGGAATTTTACCAACTGAAGAGATAACACGAACCGCATAGTCAGCCCAGTGTGTGTTTGTGTTGAGTGGCCGACTGGCGGATTGAGAGTCAGATTACGAGGACTCCTACTAAGTGTGTCCTTTATGGCACTTCCAAACAGCTGGGATGTCAGTCAGGTGTAGTGGCACACTTAAGGACGGCTCCGGCTGCGCCGGCCACCCCCACCCCCGCCTCCGGTCTTCTTGATTTGGTCGTTACGTCGGGTCCAAGTTAAAAACAGGAAAGACTGTGGTATATGCAGCACAATTCGACACTCACTAAAATCTCATTTATGCGTAATTCGCCGTCCCTGCACCACCTTGCTGTGGGGGCACATGGTGGACCTCGTCGAATACGACGTTCCAACTTCCACGTATCACTTAATGCTACTCCTACGTGTGTCTTAGGCTCCAACCTTCGAGTAAACCAGTGATTACAAACTGACATTAAATACACACATAAACCAAAATAAACTACTAACCTTCTGCGCAGTAAACCGTTCCC